CCTTCTCTACTTTGGAAATACCTTCATTTTATTTTTTGACAAATATTAAAACAAAATTTTTTGTAAATATAGAAAAGCAGAAAGAAAATCCTACCATCACCCAGAGATAACCAGTTACTTTTTTGGGGGATATATATACTTGCAGACTTTTTCTATGCAAAGATACACACATTTTATAATTATATATATATATAAAACTTTCTTTTTCAAAATGTGGGTTTTAATTATTTTAATTGACGATATTGTACATATCACTTCAGGACAGAAAACAAAACTAAATATCATTAAAAAATTAGGGTTATATAGTCTCTTCAACAAATGATGATGGGAAATCAATGTAAGAGAATGCAACTGGACCACCTTCTTATACCATATACAAATATGAATTATAAATGGACTAAAGACCTAAATGAGACCCAAAACCATAACAAATCCTATTAGAGAGCATAGGCAGTAATGTCTCTAACACTGACTGCATCAACATTTTTCTAAATATGACTTAGCAATTGCACTACTAGGTATTTACCCAAAGGATACAAAAATACAGATTTGAAGGGGTACATGTACCCCAATGTTTAGAGCAGCATTATCAACAACAGCCAAACTATGGAGAGAGCCCAAAAGTCCAACAACTGATGAATGGATAAAGATATGGTGTGTATACACACACACACTGGAATATGAGTCAGCCATCAAAAAGAATGAAATCTTGCCATTTTGCAATGATGTGGATGGAGCTATGGTGTATTATGCTAAGTGAAATAAGTCAGTCAGAGAAGGACAAATACCATATGATTTCTCATACATGGACTTTAAGAAAGAAAACAGATGAACATATGGGAAGGGGAAAAGAAAAAAAGAGAGGGAAGCAAGCCATAAGTTGACTTTTAAAGACAGAAAACAAACTGAGGGTTAATGGATGGGTTGCATGGGTGATGGGTATTAAAGAGGGCACTTGTTGTGAGGAGCATTGGGTGTTATATGTAAGGATGAATCACTAAATTCTACTCCCAAAACCAATACTGCATTATATGCTAATGAAATGTAAATTTTAAAAAAGTCACTTTCCACATAGAAAAAAATAAAAACAAATTATTAAAAAAGTGGTACATATATATGTGCCACATTTTAAAATATATTTTATATATTTATAAAATTTTAATATATTTATATATTTTCTATATATACACGCACGCAGAATGGAATATTACTCAGCCATTTCAAAAAGAATGAAATCTTGCCATTTCCAACAGCATGGATGGAGCTAGAGAATATCATGCTAAGCGAGATAAATCTGTCAAAGATACATGCCATATGATTTTATTCTTACGTGTAATTTAAGAAACAAAACAAATGAACAAAGGAAAAAAAAAGAGAAAGACAAACCAAGAAAGACACTCTTAAATACAGAGAACAAACTGATTGTTGCCAAAGGGGAGGTGAATAAGGGGGATAAGGTTGGTGGGGGCACAGGTGAAATAGGAGATGGGGATTAAAGAGTACACTTATCATGGTGAGCACTGAGTAATACATAGAATTGCTAGATCACTTACTGTACACCTGAAGTTAATGCAACACTATACGTTAAGTATACTGGAATTAAAAACTAATAATAAATAAATATATATTTATATGTATGAAGATATATAAACAAAATAAAAAATAAAAATAATAAAATTAAAAAATAGTGTTACAGTATAATCAACTGCATGCAATACCCAAAATTTATTTAACAACTTCATAAACTTTTTGGGAGCCTTCTTTTCCCTTCTTCCCTTCCACCCTTCTTCCACTGTTACAGACAACAGCAAACATTGTACAGTTTTGGCATAATTTTGCCTGAATATTTCTTTAGGATAAATTCCTAGAAGTGGAACTGCTGGATCAAAACAAAGGTAAAACACTATTGAGGAAGGCTGTATCATTTTACTAATTGATCAACAATATGAGAGTGACCATTAGCCAAGAATAATAAGCATTATTTTTTTAAAGTAGAATAAAAATAGTAAAATATAATAAATAGTATATAGTCTAATTCTTAGATAACATGGGAGGCAGAACTTCATATTTTTAGCTTTCATATTTTATCTTTTATAAATTACCCTTTGTGTCATTTGTCTACCTTTCTACCATTTTGCCTTTTTCTTATTGATTTGTAAGAATTCTTTTTACAAACTATATTGTGCAGGAAAAGATTAACTGAGTGGCTCTGGGTCGTCCAAACTCTGCACATTTTAAGGAGAGGTTTGAGCCTGGTCTGGTTCCTGAAAAATAACATATAATGCCTTGCAACACCCTGCCTGTTCAAGTATCTCTGGTTACCTGAGGCTTTGGGACAGGTCAGAAAGTTTATGCTAAAATAGGATTTATAGTGGCATTCTTGGAACACGTAGGATCACCTTGACCTCTGGAGGGACTGGAGATTTAATATCAATAAAACAGGTGGTCGCTATGCCTATATGGCCAACTTCCAATAAATACTCTGGATGCCAAAGTTTGCATGAGATTCCCTGGCTGGCAATACTGTATGTATGTCATTACACATCACTTCTGGGAGAATTAAACACTATCTGCATGACTCTTACTGAGAGAAGACAACTGAAAGCTTTGCACCTGGTCTTTCCCTGACTCTGCTATACCTGCTTTTTTTGTTGCAGATTTTAATCTGTCTCTTTTCACTGTAATACTCATGCTACTGTAAGTATAACAATTTTGCTGAGTTCTATGAGTTCTTTTAGCAAATCACTGAACCTGAGGGTGGTCTTGGGGATCCCTGAACACAGACATAAACAGCAACTTCCTTGTGATAACATAAATAACAAATGTAGTCTCCATGTTATCGTTTGTCTTTCATTCTTTGCTGCTTAAAAAAAAAAGTTAATTTAAAAATCTTCTCCATCATAAAATGTTTTCTTCTCCCCTATGTAGGTCCTAAGTATGTGTGAGGGTTTTGTTTTGTTTTTTCCTTACACAGTTATACATGTTCATAAGTTTTTTACACATGCTACATGAAGACATAAGTACACAACACTTGGGAGTATATGAGTAAGACTGAGTGACCTTCAACACCTCTTCTATTCTACTTTCCTCCCTGGAAGTAATCCACCATCAGTCATTTGATGTACACCCTTTTTTGGCCATTTATGAACATATATAACCACATCCCTATGTAACATAACAACATATTATGTGCCACTGTTCTGCAGCATCATTTATTCCCTAAATGTCTTAGAGATCTTTCCTTGTTTGTTAACTTCAAAATAAATTACCTTATTCTATTTTATAGCAGTACAGTATTCTACCATATGGATCTATCATAATATATTTAACCATATTGGTAGTGAACATTACGCTGTACCAATTTCTCACAATTGCAAATAATATTGTAATAAACATCTTTTTACACACCTCCTTGTGTACCTGTGCAAGTATTTCTGCAAGATTGAGTCCAGAATGAAATTTCTGAGCCTGAGTGAGCTCATTTAACATTTTGGTACGAATTGTCAAATTCCCATTCAAAGTGCCTTCCTCAGTCTTACAACTGGTGCCCTTCCCTGGGCACTTCCCTCAACACCTTGTATTATCAATATTTTTATATATTGCTAGGCTACTGGGTGAAAAATATCTTTGTCTTTATTTGCATTCTATGGTTACTTACAAGGTTAAGCATTAAAAAAAATTTTGTGTGTGTGTTTTGGTTACCGGTATTTTTTTTTTAATTGAATAATTTGAGAGAAAGAGAGAGTGCCAGAGAGAGAGCACAAACAGGGGAAGGGGCAGAGGGAAAAGCAGGCTCCCTGCTCAGCCCCATCCATGCAGGACTCAATCCCAGAACCCTGGGATCAGGACCTGAGCCAAAGGGAGACGCTTAACCCACTGAGCCATCCAGGCACCCTGGTTACCTGTATTTCTTCTATACATGGCCTATGGGTATCCTTTGCCCATTTTTCTTTTTTCTTTCTCTCTCTCTCTCTCTCTTTTTTTTTTGCTATTAACAGAGGCTCTTTACATATTATGGACATTAATCCTTTGTCTCTTACACATATTGCAAATATTTTCATGTGTTTTGTTTTTAGCCCTTTGTTCTTTTTGAATACAGAAATTTAAAATTTTGACATAATCTAATGAGTTTTTCCCAGACGGTTTGTGTCATGGCACGGCTACAGCATGAAGTGCAAGGGTGGAAGGCGAAACAGGGTGCAGCGTTAAGATCATAAAGGGCTTTGAGGGCACTTCTAATGAAGCGCGCTACTGTCCTGATGGCAACCGAGCACCATGCAAAGGCAACACAGCGACTCTCGACAAACATTCTCCGTCTAGCAACTATCGACTGAGCACCTAAGTACCACGATCAAACCTGTCTCTCAAAGAATTATAATTTTTTTTCAAGTTTCACAATTTCAAATACATCACGAGAAACAGGGCATAAGGGGGACTTGCGCTGCCGCCTACGAAAACGTATTTTAAACATAAAGCAGAACGGTATCAGTGCGAAAACTGCCAGAGCGGTGGAAGCTACCGTCGGGAAGCGGGTCCGAGTTTGCGGAATATCCGCGCCTGCGAAACACAACAAAAGTCACTTCAACTCAGTGGGAAACTGATTCAATTCCTAACGGCAGAACGACTGGGAAAGAGGCATATTCCTACCCAACAACTTACAACAAAATAAATACCCCCCAAATATAGGTAGACATGTAAAAAAGATATTTAACAATCCTTTAAAAGCCGTAGAAACAAATAAAGGCGAATGTGTTCATGATCTGGAGACGGGGAGAAACTTCCCGAAACGGTAACGCCCTCGCCCACAAGGAAAGCGGCAGCAGAATGCACCGGAGGAGAACCCGTTCACGACCCCGGGCTGAGGGGATGCGGGTCTCGGCGACGGCTGCGGGCGCGGCCGGGGACTCCGGGTCGAACGAGAGGGGACGACCGCGACGCGCGCACCCCCGGGCCGCCGCCCGCCCTGCCCCCTCGCCCGCCTCCCGGCCCGCCGCACTCACCGGCCTCCGCAGACAAAGGGCGCTCTGGGCGGCTCCGCCCCCTGACGCCGCGGCCGCCGCCGGGCCCGACCTGGGCGGGACGCGGTGCCGAGGGTCCGACTGTCCGAGCCAAGGACGCCCAGCGGCGGGGCCCCTGCGGCTGGACCGGCCGGCCGCGCCAGCCCGGCCCCGACCGAAGCCTCCCCGCGATGGCGACCGCGCCGCGCGGGCTTGGGCTGCGCCACACGCATGCGCCGGCGGCGCCCTGGGCGGCCGGCTTCCCGCATGCTGGACTCGGAGCTCCCACACGCTCGCCCGCGGGCTGCCACGGCAGCGGCGCTCCCGGGGGCCCGGACCTCCGCCCAGCGCTCCTAGGGCTCCGCCGCGAGATCGCGGGGTGGGGGCGAGTCGGCCAAGGCCCGCCCACAGCCCTTACCGGTCAGAGGATCCGAGGACCGGGTTCGCGCCGGATCCTAGTCCCCTGCCCGCTCCTCGTAGGGAGAGTCTCGAGCGCAATGATGATGGACAAATGCGGTTTTTTGTTGTAACGCCGGTCTCCTGAGGAGAAGAGCAGCGTTCTGTCAGCGTGGCTCACGGTCGGCTTAGCCGGGGTTCAAAACGCTCTCCGGCGCGACCCCGACCGCAGGGGTGGATCCGGCGATGCCGGTCTCCTTCACCCTCGAAACCGTGTGAGAGGTAGGGACTGTGCGGTCCCGCCGCGGAGGGACACTCGCCAGCTGCGATGTGAACTGCACAGACTCGTTGCCTGGAAGGCATCCGGAGCCCGCGGTTTCCCTCTGCACGTTTGCTTCTAGCACGTCAACGCGGCAGATGAACCGCTTCCACATGGAGGTTTGGTGGCAGCGCCTCAACTGCACACTTGAATGGGTCGTGAAATACAGTAATGTCCTTTGCACCTGCACAAAGCCTTTTTAAAATAAACGAAATTCAAGTTTAATCCCAGTTTATATTAGTTTCAAGTTTAATCCTAGTATAGTTAGTTTATAATAGTTTCAGGTGTAAAATATAATGATTGGACAATTCCGTATATTACTCAGTGCTTATCTGGGGTAGGTGTGTTCTTATCCTCTTCACCAGTTTCACCCTCCGACCCACCCACCTCCCAGCTGGTGACCATTAGTTTGTAATCTATAGTTCAGTCTTTTTCTTGGTTTCTCTCTTCCCGCCCCACCCCCTTTGCTAATTCCACATATAAGTGAAATTATATGGTATTTGTCTTTCTCTGACTGACTTATTTCACTTGGCGTAATACCCTCTACTTGCAATCAAGTGGTTGCAAATGGCAAGAGTTCATTCTTTTTGATGGTTGAGTATTCTGTACTATTCATATATATACACATATATATGTGTGTATATATATTCATATATATGAACATATACTGTATTGTACATACAGAATAAAATTGTACTGTGCATTATATATATAATGTTTATTATTCTATTTTATATATATGTAAAACAGACATATACACACACATATATATACTACTTCTTTATCCATTCATCAGTCATGGACACTTGGGTTGTTTCCATATTTGGCTATTAGATAAAGCTGTTATAAATAAAGGGGTGCATATCTCCATTTGAATTAGAGTTTTTGTATCATTTGGGTAAATACCCAATAGTGTCATTCCTTGATTGCGAAGTAGTTCTGTTTTTAACTTTTTGAGGAACCTCCATACTCTTTCCACAGTGGCTTTACTGTTAGGGTAATCAAAGGAGCGAGACTGATGCAAAGCGAAGGTCAAGCAAAGCTTTATTTCGCGCCAAGCATCGAGAATCAAACCAACCGGTCGGGTCCATCTCTTACAAAGAGGCAGCCCTTCCCCACCTCACAGACTAACTTTTATAGAGGTAGTTGAGCCTGGCTATACACGGGTGGCCAATGAGATTGCACACAGAGAAAACTGCACAGTCATGCTAGGTCTGCAAGACACAGAGAAAACTGCACAGTCAGGCTAGGTTACACACGGGTGGCCGATTGAATTTCAATTTACCCTAGTAGGTATATGCGCCCCACTGATTGGATGTCTCCACCTGTCCTGCCTGACCTGCCCTCCTATCTGGGCTTTGCAAGTAAGTTCCTCTGGGAGGGGCAGAGTCAATCTAAGTTCCCTGCATAAACACAAAATGGCTCCTGCCAGCTAAGTAGGTCCTTACGTTTACCACTTTGCATTCCCCCTAACAGTGTAAGAGGGGTCCTTTTTCTCCACATCCTTCCCAACACTTGTTTCTTGTGTTTTTTATTTTAGCCATTCTATCAGGTCTGAGGTGATATCTCATTGTAGTTTTGATTTGTATTTTCCTGATGATGAGTGATGTTGAGCATCTTTTCATGTGCCTGTTGGCCATCTGGATGTCTTCTTTGGAGAAATGTCTATTCATGTCTTCTGCCCATTTTTAAATTGGATTATTTGTTTTTTGGGTTTTAGTTGTATAAATTCTTTGTATATTTTGGACACTAAAGTTTTATCAGATATATTATTTGCAAATATCTTCTCATTCAGAACGTTGCTTTCTAGTTTTGTTGATTGTTTCTTTTACTGTGCAGCTTTTTATTTTGATGTAGTCTTAATAGTTTATTTTTTGCTTTTGTTTCCCTTGCTTTAGGAGACATACGTAGAAAAATGTTGCGACAGCCAATGTTAGGGAAATTACTACCTGTGCTCTCTTCTAGGTTTTTTATGGTTTCAGGCCACACATTTAGGTCTTTTATCCACGTTGAACTTATTTTTGTCATGATGTAAGAAAGTGATCCGGTTCTATTCTTTTGGATGTTGTCCAGTTTTCCCAACATCATTTGTTGAAGAGACTGTATTTTTCCCATTGGATATTCTTTCCTACTTTGTCAAAGATAAGCTGACCAGACAATTGTGGGTTTAATTCTAGGTTTTCTATTTGGTTCCATTGAATTTTGTGTCTACTTTCATATCAGTATAAACTGTTTTGATTTTGACAGGTTTGTAATATAACTTGAGATGTGGAATTGTGACCCCTCCAGCTTTGGTTTTCTTTCTCAAAATTGTTTTCTCTATTCAGGATCTTTTGTGGTTCCATTACACTTTTAGGTTGTTTGTTCTAGTTCTGTGAAAAATGCTGTTGGTATTTTGATAAGGATTGCATTAAAGATGTAGATTGCTTTGGGTGATATTGACATTTTAACAATATTTGTTTTTCCAATTCATGAGCATGGAATCTCAATTTCTTTCATCAGTGTTCTATAGTTTTCAGAGAACAGATCTTTAACCTTCTTGGTTAAATTTGTTCCTAGATATTTTATTATTTTCAGTGCAGTTGTAAATCGGATTGTTTTCTTTATTTCTTTTTCTGCTGCTTCATTATCAATGTATAGAAGTGCAACAGATTTCTTTATATTGACTTTGTATCCTGGGACATTATTGAATTCATTTGTCAGTTCTAGTAGTTTTTTTGGTGGAGTCTTTCAGGTTTTTTCCAATAGGGAATGTTTTACTTCTTTACCAATTTGGATGCCTTTTATTTCTTTTTGTTGTCTGATTGCTGTGGTTAGGATTTTCAGTACTGCCACTTCCTGACCATGCACAGGAGAAGAATGAGGCACAAACAAGTCAGCTGCAAGAGAAAGGGAGCAGGGGTCAACAGTAGAGAAGACTGTTGCCCCGAACAACCCCTCAGTCTCATATTTATTGGAAGGTAGGTAGCAACCCACCAAGAAGCCAAAGTAGGTTACACATTAACCACGAGTCTTGTAGGTAAGTAAGAAGAAAGGCAAAATATGTCTGGTCACATAGTACATGACCGATTGTTGAGCAAACCCAAACAAAAGGGATTATCTGACTCACTGCAGGTTCTCTCCAGGGAAGGGGAGGTAACAGAAAAATGAAGCAGGTGGCATTCCACCCTGAGTGGTCCAGGTGTTCCCAGCTGCTGGGCTTCAAGGACATATATCATCTTCTCCCCCAGAGGTCTGTTGCTAGTACATGTTTTTCTTAAGACTATATCTAAGCATGCTTGGTGACTAGTATAATTTCTTTTGGGTTATATTTTAAGCAGTACATTGTTCTGAGGAACGGTTACACAGTACTATGTTGAATAAAACTGGTGAGAGTGGACATCCTTGTCTTGTTCCTGACCTTAGTGGAAAAACTCTCAAATTTTCACCATTGAGTATAATGTTCATTGTGGGTTTGTCATGTATGGTCTTTACTTATTCTGAGGTATGTTCCTTCTAAACTTACTTTGTTGAGGGTTTTTGTCATGAATGGATGTAATTTGGCAAATGCTTTTTCTGTGTCTGTTGAAATGATCATATGGTTTTATTCTTTCTCTTGTTGATGGGATGTATCATGTTGATTGATTCACGGAACATTGAACTACCCTTGCACCCTGGGAGTAAATACCACTTGATTGTGGTTAATGATTTTTTAAATGTATGTTGGATTCTGTATTTTGTGAAGGATTTTTTAATCTATTTTCATCAGAGATATTGTCCTGTAGTTCTCTTTTTATAGTGGTAATTTTTCTGTTTTGGCGTCAGGCTAATGCTGACCTCACAGAATGTATTTGGGAGTTTTCCTTCCTTTCTATTTTTTGGGATAGTTTGAGAAGAATAGGTATTGGTGACTAACAGAATAGAAAAAAATTTTCTTTAAATGTTTAATAGAATTCTCCTGTGTCACTGTCTGTTCCTAGATTTTTGTTTGTTGGGAGATTTGATTACTGATTCAGTTTCTTTGCTAGTGATTTGCCTGTTCAAATTTTCCTTCTTTTCTTATTATTTTTATTAACATATAATGTATTATTTGCCCCAGGGGTATAGGTCTGTGAATCGTCAGGCTTACACACTTCACAGCACTCATCATATCTCCAACTACCAACTACCCTCTCCACCTCCCCTCCTCCCAGCACCCCTCAGTCTGTTTTGTAAGATTAAAGTCTCTCTCTTTTTAAAAAGATTTTATTTATTTATTTGACAGACAGAGATCACAAGTAGGCAGAGAAGCAGGCAGAGAAAGAGGGAGAGAGAGAGGGGAAACAGGCTCCCCACTGAGCAGAGAGCCCGATGCAGGGTTCAATCCCAGGACCCTGAGATCATGACCTGAGTCCTC